TGAAGCGGTGGTCTCCCGGTGTCCTGATGGGCCCTTGGCTTCCCATCTTGCCCACTCCCCACCAAGGTGTACTTTTCTGGGACCCTGTCAGCCCCTGCTTTCACCCTTCCAAAGCCCCCTTCCATGATGATGGCCACCAAGCCCCTCCGTCTGCTAACTGCTGTCATAACCCCGCACTGCCCTCGCCTCCCTTCCCAGACACGAACTCCCCAGATACACAAAGCTTCTCTGTGAAGCCCTGGCTGTGGCCCCCTCCCTGTCTTCATCTCTCCTCTGATCTGCCAGGTGTATGTTGAGGGTTTCCCTTCCCCCACCAGCCCAGACAGGGCCCTGGTCCAACTCAGATCTGCATTTTCAGGGCCTGGAAGCAGGCGGCCCCTGGAAAATTTCACTGAGAGAATGAGTATGAATATTGGAAACAGTGTTGTCCCATAGGGCCATGGAGTGAGATCCCTGGGCTAGCAAAGGCCCCAATGCTGCCGGCCTCCCACCCCCACCCCCACCTGCCTCTCTGGAGGCACGTTCCTGGGAGACAGCGTTGATGAGCAGACGGGCCTGGGACCCCTGCCTTGGCTCACCACAGTGCTGGCCCCTGGTTCCCCAGTGGAGACAGCCAAGCAGAGGTCAATGCCTGGACTTGCCTTCTAGGGAGAAAATGTATTCTTCTTGGTGACCAATTTCCTCGTGACGCCAGCCCAAGTTCAGGGCAGGTGCCCAGAGGTAAGGCTGCTGGGAGCCTCCCTGTGGGTCCCTGGGGGACTCCTGCCATCCCTGGTTCACTCTCCCTTGTCCTTCCTTCTTCCCAGATGGCCAAGCACACTGACTGTATGTTTATCTGTTGCAGTGGATTTCAGGGCTTCAACCACAGCATGCAACCCCATTGCTATTTAGATAAACAACCCCATTGTTTTTAGATAAACAAATACTGTTTTAAGAATGGCTGGCTGTTGTCCCTATTTGAGAAGAGGATTGAGGATCAGAGAGGTGAGTTGCTTGGCCAAGGCTTCACAGCTTGTGGGTGACAGGGCGGGGAGCAGGCT